TCCAAGCTGTTCGTCTTTGTTTGGTCTTCCGTCAGAATTCTGTTTGCTCTCAATCCTCCGGAAGAGATCCACATCAAAGGAAGAGGCCTTCGACAACTGAGCCTCGCACCCTAAGCCCTAAGCGCTTAATGGCCTAATTTAAGACCTAAACACCCCGACGTCAAAAAGTCCCACTTCGAAAATCAACGGAGCTGTAAGCACGGTCGCAGCTCCGTGCACATGCAGGGATTTTGCGGCGGAAAGCCTTAGAATCTAACCCCATGCTGCATGAGTACCCCCAAAGCAACCGCAAACATGATTCATACATACAGACATATATACATACATACATACATACATACATACATACACACACAGAGAGACAGACGGACGGACGGACGGATACCCAGACCTGCATCCATCCCTCCCTTGCTCCCTCCATCCAGCCAGCCACCCAGCCAGCCAGGAGGCCATCGATCCATGCATCCATGCATCAATCCTTCCAGCCATGCATTTCTTCATATGGGAGTTTCCGAAATTGGGGGTACCTTATTTTGGGGTCCTTACAATAAGGATCCTAGTATTTAGGGTACTATATTAGGGCCCCCTATTTTCGGAAACCTCCATATGTACATGCCGCGGTGCTAATGTTAATGTCCGTTTCTATATGAAAACCCATAGCTATGCAGAATAGCTGGCTCTACTCTGTATATTGTACCGGTGTTTCCAATCTATGCCTGTGTGTCTGTATGTATGTATTTATGCATGTATGTATGCATGTATATATGTACATATGTACGTTTTTTCTTGGTCTGTTCTGTATCTTATACCTACGAGAACCTACCTGCACAATCGAGGAGCGCTCCAGCGCGGGAATCGAGGAACTGGACTTGGATGTGGAGCTTTTCGCAGAAATCGACGATGATGAGGAGGATAGCCGGGACTTCTGGCTCATTCCCCTTAGTCTAGCTTAGGGTTCCGGGCTAAGGCTTCAGCACTTCGGGGGCTGCGCAGTTTCGGGAGTAAGAGTCTTCCCTTTCGCCAAGGCATGCTCCGGTCTCCGAAATCTGCGCGTTCTTGTTTATTGCACACTGCACCCTAGGCCATAAGCATGAGATCCTATATTTTAATATAATAAGCTAGCTGGTAATAGTATCCCCTGATGAGAGTCCGTCTATACTTATACCGGAACAGACCCCCGCAATCCTGTTCTTATCATGCCGGCCCCTAAAGCCTTACAAACCCTAGAAGCCCCTCTGAACCCATACAAACCCTTTTCAACCCCAAAACCCCTATCAACCCCTAAACCCAAAGCCAGGAGGAGGACGAGAGGGAGCCGAAACCCTAAACCCTACACCTTAAACCCTCAACCCAGCCTAAAGGCCCTAGACCCTGAACCCTCAACCCTAAACCCTAAACCCAAAGCCAGGAGGAGGACGAGAGGGAGCCTAAGAGTCCTAAAGCCTAAACCTAAGCCCTTAACCCTAAACCCAAAGCCAGGAGGAGGACGAGAGAGAGGATGAAGATCCAGCCCAAGGGAGTCTCGTCGGCCCCTTTCTTCGCAGAGGGGTCCCAGAGACTCCAATATCACTTACCCAGAGGCTCCATAGTAGTTCCTTCTTGGGATTACCTTATAAGATTCTAATTATGAACCCCGAAAAGGAACTACCATGGAGCCTGTGGGTAATTACGGAATGTGCCTTAAATTGTAGTAGGATCCGAAATATGATATAAGGTCTATTCCTTAAGGGATATTGGAGTCTCTGGGGAGCCGGGACAGGAGGCGTGGGGGCTCAGGGCTTTTTATGGGGTTTCGATACGGGTACTATACGGGTTCTATAGAGGGTTGAAGGTCCCCTTTAGGCATAACGAGTGCCTGTTCATAAGGGTGGGGTGTAGGGCTTTGGGGTTTTAGGGATTTTAAGGCTTTAGGTTTTGCAGGGGTTGCAGGGTTTAGGGTTCTGGTTGGGGTGTCTTTGCGAAGGAGGTGTCCTCATTGTGGCTTTCTCGCTCGGTCAAGTCTTTGTCTTGCTGAGGGTCAGAATTAGTAGGAATGCTTTCCTGTTCTAGTCACTGTATAGCTATACTTTAGTACATCACAGAACCTCGTCTCACTGTCAAGGTCCCTATAGACGCAGTCTATCCGGCTTAGTAAGGCCCTTACCCAAACTTAAACCCTGAAGCTCGAATCCGTACCTTAAAACCCCAAATAACCTACCTTTTTAAGGACTTATTTAAAGAAATCATATTAGGGGGCCCTAAAAAGGTAGGTTCCTTGGGGTCCAGGTAACCCCTAACCCTCAACCCTAACCTACATTTCTACGTGAGGCTTCCAGCTGGACGTAGGTTCAACTTTGGGAGGTGGAGCTTGGTTCTTGGGCCCAACGAGGGTCGGTTTAGGGCTTACCTTAACCCTGAAGAGCCTACCATTTTCGGGGTTCCCTCTTATGCTTTCCTTATACAAGTCCTTAAAAAGGTAGGTTCTTCAAGGTTAAGGTAGGTTCTAGAGTTTTATGGTCCAGGGTTTACGGTGCTTGGGGTGTAGCCGGTGTAGCTTTTATAGGTGTAGGATTAAACCCGAAGTTTGGAGTCGTGCTGAACAACCCCTCCCGAGAATCGTTGAGAAGCCCTTCTGCCCCTATCGGCCGCATGTTTAATATATTCCATTCGATCAAAAGCAACGTCATAAAACCAGGAAGCACGTCAAAACTCAAACTCTAAGTCCAGATCCTCGAATGCCTGGTCTCTACGACGCGAAATTGACATGAAGCACAGACCACAAAGTCTCAAAGTTCTGGCACTTTAAATGCCCTTACCCTTCAATGAAGCCCCTGCCCTGAACCCCTACAACCCACCAGCCATGCTTAATCCGCATACTGTAAACCCTAAGCCCTACCTTAACCTTCCAGAACCTACCTTTTTGAGCACTTATAAAAGGAAATCAAAAGAGGCAACACCAAAAAGGTAGGCTCTTCAGGGTTATGGTAAACTAGATAGGTGAAAAGCCTTCCACAAGAGTGGGTTCTCATCAACCTACAGGGCGAGAGGAAAAAAGGCATTCAAAAAACAACAAAACTTGAGGCTCTCTAGACGTCCTGCTGCCAGGGATAGAAAAGGCTCTTCAAAGCAAAAGCCCAATACCCGGACTAAACCCTAAACCCCTGAACCCTAAACCCCTTAATTAACCCTAAACCCCTAAACCCTAAACCCCTGAACCCTAAACCCCTGAACCCCTAAACCCTACCCAAAGGCCCCAAAGTAGTTCCTTTTTGGGGTTCGTATATAGAATCTTATTAGGTAATCCCAAACAGGAACTACTTTGAGGCCTCTCGGTAAACCCTATGGTCAGCCTTTGAAAGTGCCCGTAGTCGTCAGACTCAGGCTCTGCGCAGCTGAAAGTGCGCATCCTCGACATGACGGGTGCCAACTGAAAGCCATCAGAGCGAGTTGAGAGCCTTCGTGGCTACGCGTTTTAACCTCTCTGTAGAAAGAATTACATTAATATCCATATATGTGTATATATATACACACATATATATATATATAGATATACGTACTGTGCGTGTATATCGTATATGATGATGGTACGTTACTCTAGTCCGTAGTATATTTAATATTGTAATCAGAATGCAACCTCCAGAATCCGGCTGACCTTCGGGTAGCAAAGCCTCAAGCGATTTGGCGACCAGTGCCAGGGCTTGAACTGTGCCTAAGGGTCCATGGCCTTAGAGTAGCCCCTATATACTAGGATCCAGAGTAGGCCCTTATTCCCTTTTTTAGGGTTTAGGTTCCCTAGGTTACTCTTAGGTCTAGTATAGGTACTTTGGGGCCAAAGTATATGCTATATGGGTACATGGACCCTCAGGGACTGTGCATGTGCGCTGCTGAAGACATGCACAAACATGCAAGCGTTGAGGAAAGCTAGCAGCTAGTAAGTTGATTGGAAAATCCCTAAACCCTGAACCCCAAACCTTTGTCTGCAAAACCAGTAAACCCTAGACTCCCAACTGTCCGTTAAGCCGTAAGGGCAAAGCTCAACCCTAACGTGGAAACCACGGACCCGCACCCCGTGGAACTACCACAGCTCTGTCCCAAAACCTGTTGAAACTCAACCTAGGTTGCCCAGTAGCACCCTTTTTGAACTTTTTCTGTTTGGGTCCCCTTATTGAAGCCAAACAGTAGGAACAAGGGTACCCTTGTGGTTAAGGAACTATACCGGGGCACTCATAACTAAACCCGAGTCCATCGTTCATACCCACAGCCCGAGACCCTGAATTCTTACTTAACCTTCTAAAATACCCTAAAGCCTAAACCGTAACGTGTAAAAGAAATTACTGGCCCTAAATACTTTCCTCTACTATTCTGGGGGTTCCTTATTACAATTATAGTATAGTCAGCCCCAAAAACCTATTCAAATTGTTAAGGCCCTTTGATTGCAGAACTCTACTATACTATAATCCCCTATAGACCCCTTTAAGCGATCCCAGAGACTCCCATATCCCTTAATTAAGGAGGAATATTCCTCAAAAGATGGTAGGATCCCTTATATGATTTAAGGTATATTCCTTAATTAAGGGATATTGGAGTCTCTGGGATCCTGTTAAAGGAGCTCAAGACCTCGATCTTAGACTGTACACCCCGACACTTTTGAAAGCTCCTCAACCCAGAGCCATCACTCCAGAGTCCCATTGCCTCAAACCCCGAAACCCTAAACCCAACAAAAAACCTTAAGCCCTAAACCCTAAACCCTAGGCTAGGAGCCCAAAAAAAACCTAGGAATTAGGGTTTAGGATTTATGTTTGCCCTAAACCCTTAAGCCCCTAAGCTCCTAAACCCTAAACTCATGTGCAACCCTACACCCCAAAGCCTGAGCTTCCTTCCCAAACTCTGAACCCAAAGGGTCTTATGTACCTGTATAGTAGAATGCAGGGTTTCTATATTAGGAATTACTATTAGGATCCAGGGAAGTATCCCCCATAACAGTACATAGGACCCTTTGGGGAGCAGTTTTGCATCTTCAGGCTCCTCCCAAGGCGCAAGACGGAGGCCAAGGGCTGAGAATTTGGGTTTTTGGGTTTGGGGCCAGGGTTTCTTCTTATACTACATTGATCGTAGCAACACCACCATTTATAACAATAATGGAGTAGTGATAGTGGTAGTAAAATGTAGTATAGATGAGTTATACGGCTTGCGTTAAGGGTTCTACAATAGAAGGGGTATAAATGATTGGTAGGGTAAGGTTTTGGAGGTATTGATCTACTCTGATAATGCTAGGAACCCTTCAGAATAGTACTGCTTGTTCCTCAGGCATCCTGGGGGTCGGGGTTGATAGGGGTGTTACATCTATTGTCTATCCATCTATCCATCTATTTTTCAAAAACCCTAAACCCTATATCTTGTACGGTAGAACTTCGAGTCCTGAGGCGCCCCGGCGCTACGTGGCACCTGCGCTCGATAACGCTGCATCCGACTCTCTCAGCCCCTATTTTGTCGGCTTCCTTGCTATAATTATAGTATAATGGCCCCCCAAAACTCTCTTCTATTTATTCAAGCCCCTATATTTAGGGATGAGGGCTCAGTCTGAGGGTTGAAAAGTTTGGGTTCAGGTAGCAGGTGAGGGGTCGGAATAACTAGTAATGATGCTTGCTTAAAATCCCTGATACAATTAGAATGTAGCCCAGATGTTATGACCCGAGAGCTTCTCCTGGATCTTGAGACATGAACCCTGTATATTTAGTAAGTTTAGTGATATCACAATCCCTGACAGTCGCTGTATACCTATACGGCATAGAAGAGCACCATGTTAATAGCCTCCAGCACCCTGTTCTAGATATTGAGGCCCCAAGACTAAACTCCAAACTCTGACCCATGTGGGGGTTTCCGAAAATGGGGGGCCCTAATATAATACCCTAAATAATCGGATCCTCATTATACAGGATCCCCCCAAAATAAGGCACCTCTAAATTTCGGAAACTCCCATGTTGCAAGTCACTTCAGGCTACGACTTCGCTGTTGCGATGTCCAACGTGGCAGGCTCGACCACCGTACAGAAGTTTCAAAGAACGAAAGCTCCCTTCCCGTAGGATTTAATGGGAGTTTCCGATTTAGGGGTACCTTGTTTTGGGCCCTTATAATAAGGATCCTACTATATAGGGTACTATATTAGGGTCCCCTATATTCGGAAACCCCCCGATGTATGGTTTATAGGGTTTAGGGAGATGGGGCCTGATTTTTTGAATCCTGCTCGGGGCCCCTTCTCCTATAGAACCCCCTTATGTGTTGTCTAACCTAGAGGGTCCATATATACTACCATTATGGAACTGGTCTTTTGGGACCTACTTCCATAATGGTAGTATATATGGACCCTCGGGGTAACTGATGGCTAGGAGGTACTCAGGGGCTAAGTTTCAGGGTGACGGGCTGAGGTTAGGGGCGCTGGGTTTTGGAATGCAGTCTGAAATTTTCAATCAGGCTTCGGTGTTACTGGAAGCTGAGGGCTGTATGGAAGTTTCCCGAAAATAGGGGGCTTTAACATAGTACCCTAAATAGTAGGGTCCTTATTACCAAATTAGGTACCCCTAATTTTCGGAAACCCCCGGTATATTAGTTCTATTGGACCTCCTTGGGCCTGACTACCCTACACACCGAACTGTTAAACCCGATACATGCGCGCTCGGGATCGTCCGAGTGAGTTGTTGTACCAGTACCAGGCCTGATCCTTAAGACAAATGGGTGGTTGTCAAAATCAGGGCCCCCTTTTGGGTACCCTAAATATTCGGTGCCGTATTGTAGTTGTGACCCGAAAAGGTACCATAATTTTGACAACCACCCATAAGGGTGTTGCTGACTCTTTGTTTTTTGCCGTCGGAGAAGGCCTGAATCACGCGAACGACTTCGAGAGTCTGGTACGACACTGCCCAGAGGCGATATAGTAGTTCCTTTTGGGGTTCACATATAGAATACTAAAAGGTATTCCCAAAAGGAACTACTATTCGGCCTCTGGGTAAACCCTAAACTCTAAACCGAACGTTATAAACCCTGATGTTAAGTCTAAGTCGAAGTGTTTCCGTTTGCGGGCCGATGGGCTGCCAGGTGAAGACCTGAGAAGGTGTAAGTTTCCCAAAGGGTCCTGAATACCCATATGTGGGATACTTACACAAGCCATCATAGTAATGCCTGCTCTAGAAACCCTGCTTTGGTTGATGATATAAATCCTGCATGACCTTGAGGAACCTAAACCATGGGAATTATGGTATATTCCTTATTATGGGTCATGCAGGATTTATATCATCAACCGTTCGGTATAGGTGCTTTAGTCCACGGGCCTGTACGGGTTTTCTAAAATTAGAACCCGAAACTACTAGTAGCAATCCTGATTGTCCTACTCTTCCTGCCGTACCCGCACGCTTTATTCTGGGAGTATGAGTACGGCGTTTCTTTAGATGATGCTTGATAACCCTAAACCGTAAACCTGAACCCGTAAGCCCATATCAGGAGTCTTTTCCGCTTCAAACGCAGCCGGGAGCCAAGAATCCCGTGACTGCAAGCTCCTGTGACCTGTCGAGAGCAATCGTCGAGGAGTCTTCTTCGGGGGTGCTTCTTGGAGCTGGCTCCCTTAGTACCGATCGAGACTAGAGCAATCAAAACCCCATTAAGGGATTTACTTTTGGGATCCTCCCGGGGGTCTGGGCTTGGGAAATGCTAGAAGCCCTTGAAGACGACAGTTGAAATCTGTGGTTTCTGAACGGAACCCTGAACGCTCCATGCCTACTCGGGCTCGGAAGTTTGCAAACGGCCGAAGTAGGACATCAGAACGAAGGCGGCTTCTGGGTGTTCGGGTTCGTTTACCTGTTCCTCGGGGTGTACCATAAGCACTGAGGCTCCATGTGCCCATACAGTATATACTTAGGCCTTAAAGTGTCTATACAGGGACCCCTTTAAGGCTTAAGTAACCCTAAACCCCAAACCCTAAGCCCTAAACCCTAAACCTCCTTTGGGAAGGTGTTGAATCTGAACCCTCAGCCCCAACAGCGAGTTCAAGAAACGGACCCAGCCCAGCTCACAGTTGAGGATTTCCATGCTTTCACAACTGCATGGGAGTTTCCGAGAATTTGGGGCCCCTAATATAGTACCCTAAAATAGTAGGATCCCTTTCAAAAGGACCCCAAAATGAGGTACTCCCTCATTCGGAAACTCCCACATGATGAGTAATTGTAAACAAGTGGTGAGAGGATTGCCGCAAGTAGTACAACAGCCCGACACGATGACACAACTCCATGAGTCCTGCATTCAGCTCAGACACTAAAACCCCACTGAGAAAGCAAAACCTAGACGGTGTACCCTCGGACTCCAAAAGACGCAGTACTAGGTACTTCGGTTGACGGTGGTAGTGTGGGTCAGAACTAGGGGAGTATATGATTCTCTGGGGCTTTGTAAAGAGATCGACAGCAGGCATCGGGATTGGCATCGACGGCGCCCATCGCCTCGGCTATCCAGCGTCGTCGGGGGCCGAGTTGCTCGGGGTGTAGGGTGTCTCGGGGGCTTTTAGGGTTTAGCATGATTTAGCTTGAGTTAGGTAGCGAGATCTCGTGTCTTTCAAACTCTCCGGTCAGATTATGTTCAGCATGTTGGCTCGTGCTTTAGCTTTCAGGGTGTTTGTTAGCCTTTTGACCTTTTGGAAGCCCCAAGCGAAGGTTACCCAAGTCCTTGGACCTGATGACCTCAGCGAATATAGGGGCCGAAATAAACACTAGTACTAGTTTGGGGTTTTCTTATTGTAGTTCTAGTATAATAGGCCCCAAAACCCGATTCTAATTTAATTATGGCCCCCACAGTAACTAACATCGAAAGCCGGGCTTCCCGATCAAACAGCCTTGGACTCCAACCTGTTTCGGATGGAAGTGGTGGGGCTTTAGGCCGTCTATAGGCATCGCATGAGTGTAGGATTTTGACCTCCGGGTTTGGGGTTTAGGATGCATGCGCACCGGATGTTGCTGAAACGCCAAGAATGTTAAACCAGGAGCCCTGAAGCCCTAACCCGACACCCTGAAAGCAAGCCCGAAACCCTAAACCCTAAACCTTGAAACAAAAAAAAAGCCCTAAATCCCGGGAGCCCTGCATCTTGAAGTCTTGAAGCCCCTAAGCCTAGAAAGCCGCAGTAGCCTGTCCCTTCCGAGGCTTTGCCCAGTTTCAGCTGGAGGATGACGACACATCACCTGCAAAGAAAGCAGCCTGGCACAGATTCTCCAGTCGGTTCACGACTTTGGGTTCCGGGCTTACCGAGATCACCAAGAGTAGGTAAAAGAATGGCCCAACACCTACAAAAGGCTAGTGTTCTTTATACTCTTGGGGTTTCAGGTTTAAGGATTTAGAAGGGTGACCTCATGATTTTATATGATTTCGCCGGGGCTCTGTGAGAATTGCTTCCTCGAAGGGATGTATCCTCAGAGCCGCTGGAGCCCTAAGCCTAGAGTCCTTAGCTGCCCCGTGAGTAAGATCAGAGCCAGTTTCCAGGCCGGGAGTGGGGTCCGTTTAGGGTTCCTTGATGGGTTTAGTATGGGATATACTTAGGGTATATGAGGGTCCATGTATACAAGTAGTATTTAAATTGGTCCCAAAGTACCTATATTTAGGGAGTACTTCACAGCTAATGCACATAATATCTATAGGTGTGTATATATTTATATATGTATACTAGTTGGGTACATGGACCTTTAGGGATCACGAAGCCCCAAAAGCCCCCCTTGGAACGTTCCACGCTTCTGCGGTTTGGGTGACGAGAAGCGAAGGGATTGTTAGGACGGTTTCGGCGCACCAGGCTCAGCCAAAAAGGCGGCTTCCGGCAGCAAAAGGCAAGCAACGCCCTCGGAAAGCTTTGAGCCCCGAAATCACCCAAACCTGATCCCCTTTTTCATAGTTAAGCTTTAACTCTAACTTCCCCAAAGCCTGCAGCCTTGCTTTTAGAGGTCTTTCCGGCTTGGCTTGGCATGAGTTGTTGTCTTTGTATGGGAGGGTTTCTGGTTCAGGGTTCTTACGCTGAATCGTTCTTCCTTGAGTTTTGGTCTGTTTTGGTGTCCTCTTACTGTTGACGGACAAAATCCTGCATGACCAATTATAAGGAATATACCATACTTCCCATAGTTTAGAGTCCTTAGGGTCATGCAGGATTTTGTCCATCAACAGTATGAAGCATCTTCTTATAGTCCCTGGCGGAGTCTCCTGGTTTGCTGAAACTCCAACACCTGTGGCACAAGGAGTTAGGCGAGGCTGGGAGCTCCTTCATAGGCCCCAGCAGAGTTAGTAATACACATCGCAGATCATTGCAGTATTCCTTCTTCGGGCTCTTTAAAATATTCATAGTTTCTACCCCCCCCCCGAACCCATAGTATTCAGGCGTCTATACAGAACCCGATGATGCGTTCAGGCCTTACCCAGACCCTGATTTGCAGTACTGGCTTTTGCCTAGCATCTAGTGTTATGTCTGAATCCCACAACCCAGAGACTCCAGTATCCCTTAATTAAGGAATATACCTTAAATTATAGTAGGATCCTTAATATGATTTAAGGTATATTCCCTACTCAAGGAATATTGGAGTCTCTGGGTACACTACAGGGTTTGAGTCTCGGTCTCTGGGTAGTAGGGGGGGGCTTCTTCGCGCTTTTGAGTTTAGGGTCGGAATTAAGGAGTTTACAGTAGAAGCCCAAAAGTTAGGAACCCAGTAGCCTCAGTCCTTAGGAGCAAAGTATAGGGAATCCCAGCAAAATTTGGCATTAATCCGGCTTCCAACTTTACGGGGTTTGCTGTACCTAAACCACCAAAAGTAGGTAACATAATTGACCAACACTTATAAAAGACCATTATTCTACATACTTTTGGGCTTCAGGCAGGGTTGAGTTTAGGGTTTAAGGTTTAGGATGTAGGGTTTGGTCCCCGGCCGCTAAGGGGTATGTGGGTTGAGTTTGCTGCCTGGTGTGCAGAATTTCCAGCAACCCCACCCCATCCCAAGTTCCTCCAATCCATGATCTCGGACGAGATGAACCCCAAGCAGCCTTTGTCAAGAGTCTAGAGTTGTCGCCTGTTTCTGGTTCTAGTTGAATTTCGAGGAGGGTGTCGACCCAATCTCTAGATTCCAAAAAGTCCTGAGCTCCGTTTCCCTTAACCCTTAGCTGGCCCTAAACTGCAAGTCCCCGAAACTCCTTCTAAACCTTAAACCCAACACCCTAAACCCTACTGTTCGTTAAACCCTATAAACTCTGCATAAGTTCCTCAAGCCCTATCGTTCCTTAAATCCCAGACTCCCAGAGAGCCCAAAACTTTTATGGCATATGAAAACCTCATAATTTAAGGTATATTCCTTAATTATAGTAAACCCCGAAAAGTTGGAAACCGGATTAAGGACAAATAGTGCTGGGATCCCCTATAATTACATTACTCTTAAGGATTGAGTCTATTGGGTTTCCAACTTTTGGGTTGTTACTGTAAGGGGTATCGGGCTCTGTGGACTCCCAAGCACAACGCCGCTTGAGGTCCAAGCGGCCCCGGAAAGGCGACAGCTGTTCGACGGAGGACGCCTCCAGGGACTCCTCCGGGGTTTACGGGACGGTTCTCGGGTCTAGGGTTTAGGGATCTAGGGATTTAGGGATTTAGGGGTTTAGGGTTTAGGGGTCTTAGGGTTTCGGGGTTTTAGGGTTTGGGGTTTAGGGTTACTTGTAACTTACCCTGAGGGTCCATGTACTCATATGTGTATACATTGGCCTTAAAGTAGTCCCAAGGTACTTTACGGCCAACATGCTATATGGGTACATGGACTCTTAGGGTTAGCCATGCTTATGGACCTCCAAGCAGTACGTGTTGCAGGAACCGGAAGTAACAGAGTTTTCAGGATTTCAGGTTTGGGACTTCTGCTTGAGGACTTTGGAGGTGAGCGCTAATCACATAGGGTCCAAAGTACCTTTATGGTAGAATGTAGAGTTTCTGTATATATTAGGATTTCTATTATGATTTATGGAAGTATCCCCCAAATAACAGCACCTAGGACCCTTTGGGAATCACATAGGGGTTTGAGAGTGTGTAGATGTTACTAGGCGTGGGACTTTTCCCGTTGTTCACTTCTGGCAAAGCTCGGCTGATGTCCGTCCCTTGGGCTCTCCTTGGTGAAGGAAAATCTTAAAATCAGGGTTCAAGGTTTAAGGATATAGCTTTTGTTCAACCTATGGACCTTAAACCCTAGCACAACTTGCATAGATTCCGATTCTAATCGTCGTGCTCGGACATTACAGATGCGGCAGACACATGGCATCATCAAATAGGGTGTTGGCCCGTTTCCGCAGCGCTCTGATTGGAGTGTCTTGAATCTCACGGCTTTGAGTTCAATGCGAGCAATGCACATGTAAAGAATGAACGGCGCATAACGGCACAATCCTTGCAATGGTGCTTCTGCTAGCTCTCTTTCTCTCTCGCTCTCGCACACGCTGACACCGCCAGACTTGATGTACGCCCTCCTGGTTCTAAGCCTCATGAAGGAGCGCATCGAAACAAACTGCACTTGCTTCACTCGTTGCTGGAGGCAGCTACGCCCGCCCGATCTACGAGGAAAGGGCCTTACGTGGAGTTGGATGCCCAGCTGCTCCGCTTGTCGTGAGGCTTGAAGGCAACCGCAGTAGTAGAGTAGGCAGCCTTTAGCCGTTAAGGGTACTATCATCTCAGTATAATGCCAACATGCTCCCAAAGGTAAACTCTTGGTTCGCTAGGATACTGGGAAAGCAATCTAGGTGACGATGTGATAAGACGGTGCCGACAACGGCAGCTGTGCTGCTGACTGTGGAGACGGAGAAGCAGAGTGCCATGACGATGGTGAAGATGATGATGATGATTCCGATGACAATGATGATAATGGTAATGATGGTCATGATGGTCATGATGATCGTGGTGGTGGTGGTGGTGATGAATCAGGATGACGACGATGCCGGTGATGATGCCGTCAAGAAAAGGACCAAGAGAAAGTAGCAACTTCGCAAGAGCAGCCGTCGAAACGAGAGTCGAGAGCAGACGCCAAAACCTGGAGACCCCCACTCCCCCCTCCACATATTGAGTAATATCCTTGATCTGGATGAGGTCCATGGACTTGGCGAAAGTTGGGCTCGCTGGCGGTCTCTTGGCTAGTTTTCCGTGGGAGGCTTGTCAAAGCTAAAACCCTAAACCCTATACTTCTGAGTTGCCTGTCAAGACTCGAACTAGGTCTAAACTCGCAGGAACCGCAAGGATTCATGCACCGGATGGTGCTCAAGGATTTTGGTTAGTTTTGGGTGGACTTTGGAAGGGCTCGCAGACCATGTCCTTTAATATAGGGGCCTTAATAATTGAAATGGGGTTCTGCTGCCCATTATCCTATAATTAGAATAAGTAACTCGAGTAATTAGAGTAAGGACCCCCCCCCCCCCCCCCCCCCGAAAAAAAAAAGCCTTGGTAATTGTTGAGGCCCCTAACATGGAACGCAAGTGTAGATCCCTTATAGATCCCTTATAAACCCCTTAAGGATCCCTTTAAAGGGAACTTGACCTCTGAACCTTAGGTCCTCCGTCCTCCCGGCCGCCACTCCTGTTTGTCAGGCGTTCTCAGATCCCTTAATGAAGGAATTTACTTTAAATTGGAATAGGATCCCTAATAAGATCATAGGGTATGTACCTCAATCAGGTGATTTTGGAAGGTCTGGGTTGTCACGTTCGGTAGATCGTGAGTCAACGCCTAGGCAAACCCGAAATGCCACGGCTTGACAGCCTACAGAAAACTGTGGCAGATTCTTGTGTCGGCAATTCTTGTGGCTGGCTTATATGCTATGGTGTTGGGGGTCACAACGCTCAATGCAATCGAGTTAGGGGAATCTCAGCTGCCGAGGCGTAACATAACGGCCTAGACACCTAGTACGAGAAGGTCCCCCTGCAGTCCCTACATAAGTTATCAGCCGAAATCCTGCTATATCGAGCAAGGCCCCGACAGAAATCCTGTAATGATCGAAACCTTTTCGAGCTATGGATAGGGGTCCTATCTTACTGTGCTAGATCTTTGCGAAGGGTCGCGGCTCTAAAAGAGTATTTTGCTTGGCCCTGCGGGGCTGCGTGAATCTTTTGCACTACAGCCAGTATTACGGTAAGCCCCATAAAGTTGGAATCCGGATTAAGGCCAAATGGTGCTGAGTTTCCCTATACATTACTCTTAAGGATTGAGGCTATTGGGTTTCCAACTTTTGGGCTTCTACTGCTGCCACTATTAGGGTATATAGGATAGTTTAGACTTTGAAGTAAACCCCAAAAGTTGGGGTGGTCTGGGTAATAGAGACCCTGATGACTCTGAAACTTGAGGATTCATGGTTCAGGCTTGTTGACCTTTCAGGCCCAAGCACGATCCTCTGAGCCGTGTTATCTTATGGATGTCGACAAGCTTGTTGTTTGTATGTGGGGGTAGGGTTTGGGGTTGAGGGGGTGATTTGAGGTTTTTGAGGTGAGCATGGGTGACCTGACTGAGGATTGCAGCCCATCGACTTAGACTGAAGGCCCTGATCTCAGCTTTAAAGAGCTGATGGAGGGGGTTTGGAATGTAGCGAGCTTAATGATTAGAGTAGGTTTTGGGGTATATTATACCATAATTCTAATAAGGAGCCTCAAAATAGTACAGGTAATTATTCAGGTCCTATAGTAGAGGGTCTAAGAAGTAAAGCGATTTCGTGGTCTTGCACTTCGGCCTGTGCGATTCGGCTTTGTGTCTTTTTAGGGTAGCAGTGATTCGGGACTTCGGCCCCTCGTCAAAATTATGTAATTATGGTCCCTTTTTCGGGTACCCTAGATATTAGGTGCCGTATTATAATAAGGACCCAAAAAGTTACCCTAATATTGACAACCACCCATGTAGCATACACTCAGTAGCTGAGTAGGGAACCTTCATCCTTTTGAGGCTCGTGTACTCCTACCATATAAATCAGAAGAGCCTTTTTGGGCCAGTGTTTTTCAGCCCAGAAGTTCAAAAACGCGGATGATTCCCAGGACTCCGAGGACGGGCCTTCATGTTGGTGATGTGGGTTTGTGTCTTGAACGGATCTTGGCACAGAGTCTCTTGCACAAGAAATCACAAGCCCTCAACCACTCCATGTTGAACTACCACGACCAACGTCCTCAGCCACAGAAGTATCGAACCCCTCAGAATCATAATCCCATACTGGTACAGTTTCTCAGTGTCTTAATGTAAGCCTTACTATGGAGTTCATAGGAAGCCTCAACAGGTAATGGAACAAGCCCTACGGAATCACGAGTCTCGCTGAACTCCTGATAAAAGTGTTGGAAGAGTTTGTTATGGACGTTATACCGCAAAGCCTTAATCTTATATGATGCTCTATATTAGGCCCTCAACCTTTTTCAGCCCTCAAGCCCGAGGCAGGTCATGGCAGCCTTGTGGGGTTGAGGCTGCGCGTGCCTGCTCCGAGATCCCGAAAGAGGATTCGGGGAAGCTCCTCACAAGCTCTGTGGGCATCTAGGGGGCCTATAGGGCCTAGGTAGGGAGTATGTGGCATCCGGAACTGTGCAAACTTAGCCACATCATCAGGAACAGACGATAATTACCTTGCGTTCCTAGATTCTAAACCCTGGAACAGACGGCAGGCTTATTGATAAGTCACCAAGCGCAAAAGGTCGGCGGGAAATCGTGGTCGTAAACGTAGTAGTAGTAGTAGTAGTAGTAGTAGTAGTAGTAGTAGTAGTAGTAGTAGTAGTAGTAGTAGTAGTAGTAGTAGTAGTAGTACTAGTGGTAGCGGTCGTGGTAGTCGTAGTGGTAGTGGTAGCGGTAGGAGAAGCAGCAGTAGCAGTAGCAGCAGTAGCAGCAGCGGCAGCAGCAGAGCAACAACATCCGCACCGCCACCACCACCACGACCACGACCACCACCACCACCACCACCACCACCACCACCACCACCACCACCACCACCACCACCACCACCACCACCACCACCACCACCACCACCACCACCACCACCACCACCACCACCACCACCACCAATTTCCAGTAATTTCAGTTGATTTCCATGGTCTTCCCCAGGATTCGGTTTATCAGGGTGCGTACAGTAGGTGTCCAGGGTTCGCGGGTGTCTAGGCTCAACAACTTTCTGATCTTGACATTTTTGGTTTTGGCTTCAACTTTTGGGCTGGAGTGCCTAAAGCCCACGATTTCCGAGGCATTGAGAGATCTTGCTAAATCCCTTTCCACAAAACCACAAAAACCGTTTAAAGCCACCCTAAACACCCAAAACACAACACTATTCAAGCCCTTCCAACCCCACCCCTCAGAATCCCGTTAAAACCCTCCACTAAAGCCATTATTAATCCCTTTGAAGCCCTTCAGCACCACATAAAACCCTTCAGATCCTTCCAAATCCTTTTGAACCGTCCGATATCCAATCAAAACTCTTACCCTTAAATCTCATGAAACCCTGCAGAATTCCATGACAACATTACCATAAAATCCCTTCCAATACCGATGCCTGGCATGGAAACCAGTTGTATGGTTGGCGGTTGTTGAATCGGGAGGGGGCCAAAGCGACAGACAGGGCTCCAGTTTTTGTCTCTAGCAGCAGGTAGAGACAAAGTCCTGATTTCAACGAGGCCGTCGTTTCTGCTAGTCGCAGACAAAAACTGGTGCCCCGTCTGTTGTTTTGACTGTACCAACCACAGCAACAGCAACACCAGCACCAGCAACCAGCACCAGCAACAACAATAGCAACATCTACTGCTACTTTTACTACTACGACTACTACCACCACCACTACCCACTATTCGCCAGCCGCAGTAGTCGTACTGGTAGTACTCGTGCGGCTGTTACTAGGTTGTGGATACTGGGACTCGTAGTAGTAGTGTGTGAGTAGCCAGGCTATCAGTAATGGTAGTAGTAACGGTAGTGCTAGTGCTAGTAGTAGTAGTAGTAGTAGTAGTAGTAGTAGTAGTAGTAGTAGTAGTAGTAGTAGTAGTAGTAGTAGTAGTAGTAGTAGTAGTAGTAGTAGTAACTTAGTAGTAGTAGTAGTAGTAGTAGTAGTAGTAGTAGTAGTAGTAGTGGTGGTAGTAGTAGTAGTAGTAGTAGTAGCGAGCAGTAGTATCTACTAGCGGTTGCTGTTGCTGCTGTTGTTCTTGTAGTTGTCGTAGTTGTAGTAGTCAGAGCTTGTTGTCGTTCTGGCTTTTTGATTGCGCAACTAGGTGCCAGCAGAGCAGCGAGTTCTCGGCGACTGTAGGCGGAGCTGTACCCAAATCGCTGTCAGTCTCTAGGTCCCCAGGTTTTCATTATGCATGGCTGACTGACTACTTCTCCGATTGTTCTGACTAGGACGGAGATGGTTCTCTAAGAAGTTCGTGTCAGTTGAACCCAGCTTGCAGTACTGTTTTGCAGTGAACTTCAGTGTTTTGGTCTTGCACGTGCGGTTCCAGCTGCTGATGCCACCATTGAGTTGTTGATTTTCATCGTCGGTTTTTCTCGTTGGCGCAGTTCGTCGTGGTAGTATCCATGTTACTACTTGTTTATCCTCCCTAAACCCGGACCTCAACTAGTTCCGTGAGAATCCAAGGTCGCAGGGTCCAGGGTTCAGGCTTCACGGTTTCATCGTATAGAAGCCTGAAAGATTAAGTAATACTATTCCTCCTGGTTCCGATGATATTCATGTACGGGATAAGCCAAACCCCTGTTGCGATAGGAAGCGCCTATACTATCCTACACCTAAAACCATGCGACCGATTTACACCCAACCTTTAAAGCCTAGTAGCAGAGTAGGTAACCTTTAACCTTTTTTTGGGGGTAGTAAAGTCCCTCTATATACCCTATATAACCGAAAAGGTTAACCGACCTTGAGTTCCCCATGATACCCGACAAGTAGAAAAGGGAACCTCATTCTAATCCTTTAGGTCACTAAATTGGCAACTTCCACAGTCGCCTTCTTTGCCTCGGGGGAAGATCAAGCATGGATTTAAAAGGGCTTAGGGTTTAGGGTTTGGGCTTAAGGTTTAGGGTTCGGGCTTAAGGCTTAGGGTTTGGGGTTTGGGTTCAGGGGTTAGGGTTTGGGATTTAGGGCCGAAAGAAGTTTCGTGAACGTGAGTTTGAGCAACACTGGGAGCGCTGATGCTGGCTTTACATACTCGTGTGTGTTGTGCTGTATACATGCCAAGGCCTGATATGATAGGTAAACAGACTGGACCACAGCGCCTAAATCCCAGAGATTCCAATACCCCTTAGTTTAGGGAATATTCCTTAAATCATATTTAGGGTCCCACTATAATTCAAGGTATATTCCTTAATTAAGGGATATTGGAGTCTCTGCGATCAGACCCTAAGCCGGGAAGCCCTAAATGCCGAAAGCTCGGTGCATACACCTGCAAGGGTTTCGATAGCTGGGCTTAGGGTTGAAGATGCTGCAGGGTTTAGGCCCTAAACCCTAAACCCTAAACCCTAAACCCTAACCCTGAATACTTAGCCCGGAGGGTTGATGGGTCTAGGGTCAAGTTTGGGTGCTCCTTCACACATTCAGTTTCACCGTGCAACATTGAGCCGACCGTCCGACATCCTCCAGTCTCTGCCGTATTGCGGAAGTCTTGCAAGATGGCTCCCTTATGGGTTTTACAAATCTTATTATGAGGGTTTAGGCTAGTTAGGAACCTGATTCCTTAGGCTCTACATAGTTGTATGCTGATGTACGTCCATGGCCTGTTCTAGTCACGTGTTTTAGTTGCACATTTGTGTTCTGGTGAGTGCAAAAACGGCTCGTTTGCAGCATTGATAGTTTCGGCTATCGTTTCGGAGATACGAGGAATGTAACCTTTGCCTCATCTGGTTGCACAGCGTGGGGATGTCCCTTAATTATACTTGGCTATGTAATTTGTTATGAGGTTTCTCTGCAGATTTTTCCATCCTGCTTCTGAACCCGCTCCGCAAACCACATGGGCTCTTGTGTTAGTTACGTCCATGCGCACATATAGCATGTACTCTGGCTCTAAAGTACCTAGACAGGGACAACTTTACGGCCAATGTATATACGTATGAGTGCATGGACCCTTAGGGCCTTAGGGTTATTACCGTCTACAGTTGAGCCTTCGGGGCCTTTTGGCATTTGAGGCCCGTTTCCGGAAGGCTTAGCCTCAGTTTTTTGACCACCAGTCCAGACAACAAGAATCGTCGATTTCGATTCCCTGGTTTGGGGCTGGTAGAATGCATTAAGGTATTTAGTGTGTTTTGGTGTTGGCATTGGTTCGAGTTTGCAATTTCTCTCGAGACTGTGATGTCCGACTCTGGAACATGGGATGTCTCCAGCGCGAGCCTTCACACCGCCGGTCTCCGTCAACAAGAAACCAAACTTGCACTATGGAGGGCTTCGCAGGATGATTTGTCTAGTGTTCCCAAACACTAAACCCCAAACCCTAAGTTGAGAGCTACCTGGCTTCTAACAGCCTTTTTTGCATCGGAAACGCTAGAGTGTGAAGCCCGAACCTGACATCCGACTCGTACGGTTCGGAGTATTATAGGGGCCTTG